AAAATCAACTGATAGGAGGCACACGTGTTCCTAATAAAAAAGTGTATTTTAAAGCGATATACTATACTACAGTATTTATCAAACATTCTTTGGGATGAATATATCCCAGCAGTATTGAAAGGGTTAAGTTTCAGGATGATTATAATGGGACTTTATATTCTCGATTTCGTTCTGATTCAAGGTTAAAGCTTAAACAAATTATTTATTTAAAATTTATTCTAACGTTTCGATGTTACATGTTGATGACATCAACATATTTCTGTCTACAGTGTATATATTTTCGTTGATAATGAGTCAATAACTCGAAACATTAGAATAAATTTTAAACTTTAAAAAAAATAATTGATTTGTTCTGTAAAATAAATAAATATTATGAGTTTACACTTTTCATGTTCTGTTGGATTTTATAGATAGCAAAGCTGAATGTGATCTTTATGTTGAAAATTTGCATGCTTGTTTTAATAAACAATCAGGTGAGATAATTTATATTCAGTTCTGTAGACTTCAGTTTTAATGAACAAAGCGATGATCTACGAAGTCCTTTTTGTTCCAGCTACAAATAATGCAATGACAGAACAATCATCATCTATACATGCTTTAAAAGAATCAATAACAACAGGTCAATCAAGCGATGATGAAAGTTCTGATGTAGAAGAAGCAGCTGTAACAAAACCACATTCTCAACAAACACTAGAATTAGTTGTACCACCTGAATCAATGGATCATGAAGTTGCTACTCGAGAATTGTCATCCAAGACACATTGCCAACAAAGTTTATCACGTCAAAGTCAACAAAAACGACAACCACCATTACGTGTTTATCCGCATGAAAACACCATTATATTACGTACAAACGAAACACATGATCAGCATTTATTGGATATGGAAAGAAACAATCGTACACAATTAAATAGGCATCGTGGTATGACAGATTTTCTTTATTTGGATAATCATTATAACAAAATTTTGTATATGGATAGCCTTCTTTTGCCAGCAATGCTAGAAACGACTAACTGTCTGTTCTAGGTTATTGTGAATTTAGACCTTTGAAATATTTTAACGTCGGCCAGTCTTGGCTTGTCGACAATCTTCATTCATGCTATGAAGGTGTCACGAAAGTAATATACTTTTTGATTTTTAATAATAGTATATTTCTTGCTTGACACGCGTCTATGCTTTCCTACTTTCTCTAGAAATTATTGACACTGTGGTTGGACAAAAAATATCGGTTGTTTGGATGGTCTATTCGAAAGAAAATGGATGATCTTGATCGTGCACTTAGTCGTTTATATTTACCATCAACAACATCTCGTACACCACGTTCTATCTATAAATTTAAGTATTACAAAGCATCAGAATATAATGTAATTGTACATTTCGGCTTCACAGGTATTTAAATGGTTTTCTTTATATTAATCAACGTTGACTTTTATGAGATTTAAGGAGAGAAAGTACACGAACTCATGAGTTTTACTTATTATTTGTGCACAAGCGCATTCTTGCATTCCCTAAGTAGATGTTTTGGTTCAAGAACACATACTTAGGCAAATTTTATAGTTTATTTGACATTACCATTAGAAAGTGCGTGTGTAAAAACCTTCAGGAATCTTAAGGTAAAATTATCTTAATAATTAGTACTTATTAGTATTATTAGTGTGTGTGTATGAATTGTCGCAAAAAAAGAACAACAGTTTCCTATAATAAATAGAGTTCTGCATTTTCAACTACAAATAATAATTAATTTTACCAATCGGTGAATGAACAATTTCGAAACCAATTAACAAATGAATGTTAACTAATAATAATAACCTACCTAGAAGTCAAAAGTATAACTTTAGTTTCTCTCTATTTATTTTATTAGCTGCTATTGAAGTCTATGCGAAAGTTAAACGATCAAATTCAACAATACCGTCGAGGAAAATAGAAAGTATATCCTTTGATTGTTTTTGTTTCTTATTACTACACGTTTTTAATTTATTAACGTACTATACATAGGAAGAAAGCCTGGAACGCGCTGCATCTTTTGGTATATTTACATTGAACATCAAATGCAGTTTAAAATGTAAAAAGTCTATTAGAAAAAAACGTGACATTTGTTTTTTTTTACAGTTTTTACCATGTTGTAACATTTTTTATTTCGCATATATCTCGGCTTAGGTAAATGATAAAACCTTGAATTCTTTTCCAAAAGATGCGCCGTGAAAAGCTCTACAAAAGTTGTATGATTCAATTCCTTTTTACCTGTTCTAATGGTTTTTCTTATACTCAAAATGAACAACTTACATGGCGGTGTCACCTCCTATCAATTTTGAAAATGTTGGAAGACTTTTTTGTTCTGCATATATCTCGACTTGGAAAAATGACGGAATATTGAATTGTTTTTAAAAGATGTGCCGTCGAAAGCTCTACAAAACTTGTAGAGACCAAATCCTATAGCCAATCAGAATAGTCCTCGAAGTATTTTCAGAAATGATAGGAGGCGACACCGCCATGTAAGTTGTTCATTTTGAGTATAAGACAAACCATTAGAACAGGTAAGAAGAAATTCGATCATACAGCCTCTGTAGAGCTTTTCACGGCGCATCTTTTGGAAAAAATTCAAGATTTATCATTTACCTAAGCCGAGATATATGCGAAATAAAAAAATGTTCCAACATTATATACACCCGGTTTTGGCAATAAAAAAAAATGTTCATTTTCTTCTAATACACTTATTATACTTTAAACTGCATTTGATGTTCAACATAAATATACTAAAAGATGCAGCGCGTTCTGGGCTTTCTCCCTATATATAGTAGGTTAATAGATAAAAGCGTATAGTAATACAAAACAAAAAAATCAAAGGGTATACTTTCAATTTTCCTCGACTGTAGTAGATCAATATTTTTACGTACCTAAAGTAATAATAATATAAATGGCTACTTTTGCTCTACAAAATGTTTTTGCTTTTAATGAACATTGTATACTGATAGCTCGATCAATACTAGCTACAGCTAATAAATAATTTGAATAATCTGATGTAAAATAAACTATAAATACGTGTAATTTACATATGACTGATGATTTAGCAGTAATGCTAAAATTATAAGATGGTAACACGATATTGATTAATGAAAAAGATAAATTTAATAAATCTGTTGCAGCCAAAGCAAGAAAATAAATAGCACACGATCGTCGTCGTAATACTTTTCGACTAAATACAATAACACTTAGACCATTACCAATCATACCAATGACAAATATTGTCATACAAACATATTTATAGATAATTATTTCTGCTATATATCGATATATATCATCCGAGAATGATGAGGTTTTTGTTGTCGATAACGTCGAACCATTTGTAGTTGTTTGTTAAATTAATAAATAATGTTGACTATGTCAAAGTTAAATATGTGTCATCCAAAAATGATTTTGATAATGGTAATAAATCATTCATACTAGAAGCATGAAGTCATTGTCTAAAAAAATAACAAAATTTTTTATAAATGAATACTTGTGTTTAAATAGACGAAGAGTAGGGACATGTATCACAGTCGTTAAATATGAAAGGACTAACAGTTTTTTCCATAAAATTTCTTTCATAAAATAATATTACTTACTTTTCGTCTTCTATTTCCTGAAATATCAAAAGTATAACAAATGGTAACTAATTGAGTATAAATACGCCTTACGGTGACATTTGTCTTTTCCCGATACGTTTTCTTTTCTCTCTCATCTTGTTTTACTCTCTACAATACAAATATCGTATTGTTAATTTTAAATTAAAATCAATCTTATACATACCAATAGAAATAGAATAAAAATAACAAAAGAAAACAGAGAGAATAAAAAAGTTAATCAAGAAACGTTTTTAATAATTTTATATTTATAGTTTTAAAAAAAATATTAACCATTTCTTGTTTTTTTTATTTGACACGAGAGAATAGAAACACGTTTTCTGAAATATTAGCCATGTTATATGTGTCTAAGAGTAAGTAAGCACAAAGCGCGATAAAAACAAAAAAAGGCCTAATAATCATCGGTAATAATAAAGTCTGATTTATTTTATGTATGTGTATGTTTTGTAATGAAATTTATGATAGAGAAAGAAAACGAATATAGGTGATAGAGAAAAAGCAGATATACAAATTTGAATCGTTTTTAATAGTGCTGTACTTAATGTTTGAACACCTTTCTAGAGACGAAAACAATGGTTTTAAACCACAAGAGGATACTCAAAATAAGTTGTTGACAACATTGAGTGGCTCATTACTAACAATAGATAAAAAATAGTATTATTAGTGTGTGTATGAATTGTCGCAAAAAATGAACAACAGTTTCCTATAATAAATAGAGTTCTGGATTATCAACTATAAATAATAATTAATTTAGTTCCCTAAATGTTTTCAACTGACAACGTATAATTTTAAAACACTGCTTCTTTTCTGTTGACTTTTTGTTGCTAATTTCTTGCAGATGGCATTTCTTATTTAGCGTTTGAAAAATTTTTACCAAAAAAATTCTATAATCATTTTCTAAAATTTGTTTTTGCAATGAACATTGGCAATGGACAACATCAGAATCTTAATGACATTCAACATGTAACGGAAATGTTGGATGATTTTGATAAAGAATCTGACACATTATATACAGTTCGTCACCACAATAGTAACATCCATACAATGAGACATGTCCATTTATCATTAAAACGTCAAGCACCATTATATGAATACACAACATTTTTTTCCGAAAACATGAATAAAATATTAAAATCATTAGCACATGGTACTGTAGAACATCCAAAGCAATTGATATCGAGTATTGAATTATCTCGAAGTGCATTATTTCACATACAAACACCATCTTATCCATTGTTATTACTTTCATACGTTAAAGATTTATTAGATGAAAAAACAAAAGCATCAACCGCAACATCATTGTTGACACCAGCCGTAAAATGTTATCGTCGATATGAACCATTTTTTTCAGGTAATATCA